ATTGATCTACTTCTGCACCGACCGATGATGTCTCTCCATTTCCTCCGTGTGTCTTCTGCTTTGACTCGAAAATCTAGGACAGACTATTTTGCACTTTCATAACTGCAACTACATTTTTCTGTCAATGTACTATGCATATACGGTGCCAACCCTGCATGGAATAAATGTAAGGGGCAAAATTTTACTAAAAATATGGAATAAAGCCTCTAAATGTCTCTTGTATTGACGTATTTGACTGAACTTTTTCATTTTTATTTCTGTAAACTGATAGGTGTCGTCACACCTTATTGTAGTTTAGCTTCAGTTGCTTGTACTTAATCTTTCTGGTCTGTAAATTTGAGCTTTAAAATCCATGTAGTTTTTTTCCTCCAAGGTCTGTAAAGTCATTGTTCCTGCTGTTTGTGCAGCACGTTTGCTCTAGTTATCTACTGACTCCCCTTACCGTTTCTTATGGTGTTTAAAGATTTCACTCTTGCTGTTTGCGTTTACTTAAGCTGGTATGCCGAACGAGTGAGTAAATAAAAAGAATTGTTTCCTCTTGACAAGCTTTTACTCATTGGAGCCTCTTCTTGGGGTCGGACGGTTAAGCGGCCTGTCCGACGCCCTTAATTTACGGCCACGTCTTTGAAAACATTGGGGAGTTGGGAGGTTGTGGCACCAGTGTTTGGTGCTACAGCTGTTTTTACTGTCACGGCCATAAAGCTCCCCTGGGAAGGGTGAGACAAGAGAAGAAGAGATGAGAACAATGGCTTGTCATACAGCTTGCAGACACGCAAACTATCATGGTTGGAGAGGAGGAGGTGTGTCGATGCTGGGGCTGAGTGTGGAAACTCACCATACGGTTGAAATAAAGATAGCAGAGGGGTCACTAAGGCGTATTCAATCTTCCTGCCAAAAGACAATGCTAATGGTAATAACAAACAGACTGCACCTCATTTTTCTTTTATCTCATTCGCAGCTTTTCCTGTCTGTGACCATCTTAGCCTTTATTCTATTTGTCTCCTGTCACATTAGTGTATCTGAGCCATTATCTGTGATATGTGCTGCTCGGGAGATCTTTCCAATGTAATGAAAAAGCAAAATGGAGTTTGGTTTCCTGAAAGCTTTTTAGCACAAAAATCCCCTTAATTTAAAGATGCATTTTTCTTTTTACTGATAGTGGCAAACTGGATTGCTGGTTCTTTTTAGAGTATGTATGAATATCTACCCCTTTATATTTAATGTGTCTATCCTGTGGTGATCATCTGTTGTTGGATGCCATACATAGTGGAGGAATTGTACCTGCCTCAGCTGTACACCTAAATGCCATCTGCTCCTCACCTTCCTGAGAAGTTATCTGAGAATGTTTTGCTTCAGTTACTGTGTGAAAGAGTGCAGCCAAGCAGAAAGCTAAGTGTCACTGTAACTTTGTCTCAGATGTTTTACTGTGTTCCAGGATTGAAAATAGGTCTGCTCTGCAAGGCTGAGGGCAGCTTTAAGATAACTTATAATACTTTATTATTATTATTGATGTTCCAGGTAGCTTTATGGTGTTAAGCAGGTGTGCTTGTCTCTGATTTCCACTTGCTTACATGGTAAATGGACTGATTCTGATACAGTGCCTTTCTACTTAGCTTGAACACTCGAAGCACTTTATAATATAATCCTTATTCACTCTTCAATGAATGCATCAGAAGCAACTCTGGGTTCGTATCTTGCCAAAGGGAAATGTTTACATTCAAACTGGAGCAGCAAGGGATCAAAGCACCAATCTTCTGATTGGTCGATGACCTGCTCGGCCACAGACACCCCAAATGTGTCCACAGCTGGAATTATTAGAATTATTTTTAGTTTTACTGATATTTGCAGATAAACAAACAGGTTATAAAAGATGGATGCAGCCACTGTGACATCACTCACTGGCAGTGTTAGATCCAATGCATGTAAAGTAATGCAGTTACATTGTGTTTTTTGGTAATACAATAATGCGATACATTACTCTACTAATGCGTTGTTACTTCTGTTACAAAAGATGTAACAGATGTAAGATGGACTAAAAACAAAGAAACATCCGACACATCTTTTTTCTTCCTGTACAGATACAGCTGATTTCAGTTTCTGTGCAGGGAGGAGATCACTGGTGGAATGTTCTGCAACTTTTGAGGAGATATGTTCATTACTTTTATTTGTAATCTATGTAAAAAACAAACAAACCAAAAAATCCAAAACATCTCAGAGAGAAACAGCTTAATAATACTGCTACAGTGTGAGAAATTATTTTTTGATCTACAAGACCATCAGGAAGAAGCTTGGTGAGAAGGAGAGAACTGTTGATGCGATCATTTGGAAATGGAAGAAATATAAAATGACCATCAATCACTCTCGGTCTGGAGCTCCACACAAGATCTTCATTCATGGGGTGAGGATGATCATGAGAAAAATGTCTGATTGGCCAAAACAACTTGGGAGGAGCTGGCTAATGATCTGAAGGCAGTTGGGATCACAGTCATCAAGAACACCACTGGTAACACACTACATGTAGAGAACTAAAATCCCCCTGCTGAAGAAAGCACATGTACAGACCTATCCTAAGTTTGGAAGTGAACATTAAAGGGAGTTTTTCCTTCCCACTGTCGCCAAAGTGCTTGCTCACAGGGGGTCATAGGATTGTTGGGTTGTTTTCACTGTATATATTATTGTACGATCTACTGTACAATATAAAGCGCCGTGAGGCAACTGTTGTTGAGATTTGGCGCTATATAAATAAAATTGAATTGAATTGAACATCTAAATGAATCAGAGAAGGGTCGGAAGAAAGTGTGGTGGTCAGATGAAACCAAACCTGAACTGGTCTACCATCAATTTGACCTGCTGTGTTTGGAGGAAGAAAAATGAACACCACCCCTACAATCAAGCACAGAGGTAGAAGCATTATGCTTTGGGACTAGTTTTCCAGCAAAAGAATTACCCAAAATATACCAAGGCAATTAATACTAATGGCTACCGAAGATGCACATTAAGCTCATGGAGCGATCTCGCCAGTCCCCAGAAAGCCTGTGGAGGAACCTGACACTTCAAGAAAACAGAGCCCTGATAATCTTACTTTGAGTCTGATGGACATTATTAAAACCATGGACTTCATGTTCTATTCGGACCAATAGAACCAAGGGTCACATTTTCATAGACTTCTGTACAACTGGAAAACCAGAAGAGTCGCCCCCTGCTGGCATTTGAAAAAGAATGCATGTCTGCCAATTAGCTGCAGAGCCACTTTACTCCAAACTATACCAATGCTCTGAAAAAGGCTCACAGGTAACCACGAAAAACAAAATTCTATGCTAATGCATCCATTAGTTATTAAAGCTCAAAGGGGTGGGGCCAACACTGCTTAAATACTGCCGCGGTTAAAAATAATCACAAGAAAGTCATTCTGGTTTTCTCAAAAACATCTTTTCTTTTTTTTATTTTCACATGAAAAGTTTTCACATTTATCATATTTATCAAACAGGCTTTTTATAGAATCTATAATATATTTATATGTACACATATTATACATTTCTCTTACTTACACATGTACAAAATTAGGTAACAAGAATTCAGATAAAAAAAGACTGACTTCAATGGTAGTCATACACCGTTGTGCTTTGTTGAATCAAGCCAGCCTGTCAGGTGAAGATGTGCTTGGCAACTGGGTTTGATGCTGTGTCTCGTCTGTTGTGAACTGGTGACTATAACTTTTTTTTTTATTTTTTTTTTTTAATTGCTCTAAAACTAAATAGCTGATTGCCCCACTTTGTGTTTGCTTGTTTTCCAGTCGGGGTGGAAAGCACCATGACACACAGGGGTGAGTCCTGCACTAAAAAAGAAAGATTTAATACCAGCTCCTTGTGTCAGACAGTTTTAACCATTGCGAGGCGAGATCCAACAAACAGAGAAGTCCAGCCTCTCTGCGGTTCACACAACATCTCAGTGTTTCTTTTGGCAGAAAAAAACCAACAACATTTGTCTCAACACGCTTTCAATCAAACGCTGCACAGCTTACACACATTCTCCTGTTCTCAATTAAACGCGCACATATTGCCTTTCACACAAACACTACCTCCACCGGGGGCCCTCCCCATCGGCAACAGTAAACATTTCATTTTGTGAGCACATGGTATATACAGTAAAACGTCTCAGCTGCAAATGTTATAAATTATCTTCACAGAATGTACACGTAACATGATTCAACGTAGTGTTTCCATGTGTTACAGAGCGTCTGATGATTGTGTGTGTGTGTGTTTGGATTAAGCACTGTTTTAAATGGAGTGTATGTTGATGTGCAGTATTAGTGCTACAGTATATAAGCACATGGTCTGCGAAGGAATGGTGGTCATGAGAACAACTTCTGTGTCTGTTAATGCTACATTAAGAGAACGCAATCACCTGGGACAGCAAGGTCACGCAATACCGCTACAATAACAATACAACAAATAGTACGCAGTACTCAGGGTGGAATAGTGTACAAGTTGGAGAGATGACTGATCTTTGGCTCAAAAGGCTTGAGATTACTTTTTATTTTCTTCCTTTCTTGTTTCTTTAAATGCTGACTCCCTGTCCCCCATGTCAGAATAAAATTCAAAGTTGGTTAACTTGGTGTCGTAGCTCCTGATTGTCCTTCAGCCACTTCAGGTTCCTCTTCAACTTCTTTCTTCTCTCTTGCAGGGAATTCCTCCAGAGTGGTCGGTTTGATGGGGGAGCCCCAAATAGCACAAATCAAGGAGAGCTTAGTCTTTCCAGAAAAATACTGTCATCTTTTGGACAAAAAAATAATAAGACAAAGCACAAGTACTTGTCTCAAACGCTCAAAGTTGCTCAGCACATGTTGTGCAAGCGAGTCCATCTGTACTCTGCAAGCTTCAAAAGTCTCTCCCTGCGGCCAGCACTGGGCATGTTTTTTTTTTTAAGTCAGTGGTTTTCAACCCCACGGACTGTCTTCATTGTAGTCTCTGAAAAAAAAAAAACCCCCCAAAAAACCCCCCCAAAAAAAACCCCAAAAAAAGTCTGCCAACAGAAATCCTTTTTATGTATTCTCAGTGCAACAAAAACAGTAACGAAAATGGGACTAGCACTGAGAGGATTGAGAGGGATGTAGCTGCCGCTGCGGAGTTTGTCCGTACACTCTTCTGAACATCTGGCAGGATAACCACCGGGTCATCTGCTTGAGGACAGGAGACAAAGAAAACACATTAGTACCATAAATTTACATAAACCCCAAATGTACCTGGATTGTTTTAGGGTCAGAGATAATTAGATAGGACACGGGGTTGGGCTACATACCTGCAGGCAGCCTGTTGGATGGGTTGTGAACCCCGCCACCGGCTCCAACTGCAGTCCCACCTGTGCCCCCTTTAGCCACTCTGGCCTCTTGAGAGCCTGAAAAAAAAAAAAAAGGCCATCAATCATTCTGTCTTGCAATAGCCTAAAACACGACTGTTAGAGGTGACTGTACTGCTTTCCTTTCATCCAAGAGGGTGGTCAAAAACTTACCATCTGCGGCTATGACATCCACCCTCAGCCTCAGGCACTCTTGGCCATGGTGGTGCAAAGGTTTGGCTGCAGGGAAGAAGAAAGAAACAAAACAGGCGTTAACATCCTTACTAATACACTTATCCTCTCTTGGCCCCTTAATCCACCTTAATGCACACGCGCATACAAACACTGACACACAAACCCTTGGCAACAGAAAAACAACGGTACAAAGCCCCGGGAAGCCATCTGTGACCAGGCAGAGTGTGTCTTGTCCTGCCGTTTATCTAATTACAACCATGGCCAGGGTGACAACATTGCCTGTGCTTTGTGGTCAGTTTACAGCAAGGCTAGTATTGCATAAAACTTGGCAAAGTGAGCCAGCGCCCCAGTTTTCAAAGAGCTGGCCACTGAGCTGCAGCTTATCACACCTGGTACACAAACATGCAAACGCCACCCAGGTCACACTTTGTTGCAAAAATAAGATTTCTGTGAATCAGGGATAATTAGATGGATTGACATGAAGTCTTTTTTTAGCATTTCCAGGCAACGAGCTGCAATGACCTTAAGATTAAAAGATTTTTTTCCAAGTGAAATGTCTCAAAAAGACGTCCATGTTTATTTTAGCATGAATTAGGATAACTTTAAGGATCGCTTAGCATTAGTGTTTAGCATCTAGTCATCATTACATAAGTACCACATTTCTATGACTGACTTTGTGTCATGCAAACATCCAAAAGCTAATATGTTGAACAGGAAAACGCTGTCAATTTGAAGAGTTGGCATGTAGTTCCAAGCACATTTATCTTGGCTGCATGCTCCCTGTGTTATTAGAAAATGAGTTTAACTAGGAACTAGGACAGGATCCGTGACACTTACAGATATAGTAGTAGCTCTCTCCTTGGCGAAACTCCTTTCCCAGGGTGAAAGGAGTAAAACGCTGGAATTTTTCAGAGAACTTCTCAGGAGCGTGAGGGGCAAATGGATGACTGCACTCCCAGCGCATCTGGTCATACGACTGCGGCTTGCAGTTGTCGTAGTCCTCCCGCTCCACCATGTACAGCACGTATCGCTCAGCATCCATCGATGGCACCTCACCCTGCGGGTAATGGGGGCAGACGATGTCCAGGTAGTCATTAAGCTTCACCTCCACAGCATAGTCGACCCGCTGAAACCTGTCGGGATGAGGGAGAGGACGCAGGTTACTCAAGTGGCAGGAGACCGATAACCGTGCTTATAGCATCGGAGCAGTAATAAATATAAGCCTCAAAACCTCTGATTATATATTGATCGGCTACACGCCGGTATTCAACAGGGAAATCAGAGGAAAGACTGTTAGGTCTAGGAATGGGAGATAGAGAGCAAAAGAAAGAAAGAATGTTTGTATGAGAGGATGTATATGCGTGTTCAGGTGGAACGAAGAAGGAAAACGCGATAAGGGGAAAAAGTGATCTGCAGAGGACACGCCCATAAATATGGATGAACGGGAGGCCAGTGTAGCTGATGCTGCTGTGCTGAGAGTTAGCAACGAGTGCACATTGATCCCGTGTCTCCCTGGAGTTGAATGATGTTTACCGAGAAACATTAGTAGTCAGTTAGCCCGTCAACACAGGAGATGAGTATTGACATCTGCAGGCTACATGCACACACAAACAAACACACACAGATAGAGCAGCAGAATGCATAATGACAGAAAAAGTGGAAACACACCTGAGTTTGCGAGCGATAGAGACAAGAATATAAATAAAGGTCACATACAACTCAATCTAAAAAAAAAAGCTTAAGGATAGACAAACTATAACTGGGGTAGCAAAAGGAAATGGCAAAAGCATCTGCCACAGGATAAGACGGACTAAGGCAAAGTGGAATTTCTGAACCAATCTTAATGATTTAAGAAATTATGGCTGTTGCATCTCCTCACTTGTTTCAGGACACACTTCAAAAGTCAGCATCTGTGATGGTCTGATGGTGTCTTAGTGCACACAGCAGGGGTAACCTAAACATCTAGCAAAGCGCCATCATGGCTGAACAATAAACAGAGCTTTTAAAGAAACATGTGCTCCCATGTTCCTTTTCATGAAAGCTCTAGCTGATTTCAGCAAGAAAAACCACATTGTGTACATATTCCAGCAGCATAGCTCAGTAGTAAAAAAAATTAGGGGGCTGAGGAGGGGTAAATTGGCTAGATTGCAGTTCGGCCTGGTCACCGCATTTTGAAAAAAAAAAAAAAAAAGGCAAAGGAGGCCCCAAATTGTTGAGCAGCTGAATTTGAGAATAGTTCAAAAACACAGATATCCCTCAGCTCTAAAACTCTTACAACACTTCATAGATGATACGTGACAGTGGTAGCAGTAAAGACCCACCTGCCACAATTTGTTCGAGGCGAGTTGTTGGCATCAAATTCAAAAAACAAAACAATAAATGCCCCAAGTTTCAACATCCGATATGTTGCCTTGATTCATTTTCTAAATAAATGCAGGTGATTTACAAATCACTGTTGTCTCTTCTTGCTTACATTTTACACCGCGTCCCAGCTTTTTTTGAGAACAGGGTTGTCTTAACCCACTCATTAGGGTCAGATAGATAGGCACAGATACAACATGAGTCTGGTGACAGTCTGTAACTGTCTTCCACCACACTCCCTCTCATTACAAATACAGATAGAGACAGTCAGACTGTCTGCCTCCCCCTTCAACCCTCCCTTCACTCTTCCACCCTCTCCACCCTTTTTACTATGGTCCTTAAGTAAACTAAACTTCCCATCTCCTCTTAGAGCTGGCTCAAAAAAGCACTTACACAAAAAGCATCATTTTAGTCTGCTTCACATGTGCGCACATAAACACTGATTACTGCAGAAAGCTTAGACTACTTAAAGAACAATTTAGAATACTTTGGTGCAGTTTCATTTGGCCTTATCTCAACTGTCCATGAGTCCGTCGCCCTCAGGGGGATACCATCAGAGATATTATGAGGTTGTCTCCAGGGAATTGTCACTGAAGGTATTTCAGCTTTGTCCCCATCCTCTTGACTCAGTGAGAGCTCCAGGGGCGGCTCACAGCTAATGCTCTCTTCTCAGCCAAAGCCATCTATCACCAGCCTGAAGCGGTAGCTGACCACAAGCAACACACACACACGCATGCACACACACACAAAATCACACTTACTTCACAGTAATTCCCATCTATCAACAACCTAAAGCTGTAGCTACCTACTATTTACACCCACTGAACCCACACAGGCAGACACACATCTCCTCCCATGGTACTGAGCTCGATGCCTATCAGTTTACCGTCTCCTACTGTTCTGGATCGCCAGGGGTTCCCTGAGAGTAGATGAAATTTGACAGACTTAAATATTTTTACAACACACAGGGCGGATGTGTGTGTAATATAGAGTTTTGTTGCTTTTGCAACGAATATACGCATAGTTTGACAGCCTTTCGACACTAACCCTAAAGAGAGATAGCTAACTGACTGCTGTTTAATCAGATCTACAGATCTCAAGGAGTTATGAGCTCCCAAAAGCCCGTGGGGTGTTAAACCGACACCAGTGATGGCATTTCTTTCCTAAAACAGGCTTCTCTTTGAGAATTCTGGCTTTTATCAACCCACCACCTCCACCTCCACCCACTCCTTGTGGTTGTATTAGTAGCATTTGGGGAGTTTGTGTTTGTGTGACAAGGTCCATATGTGTGACTAACAATCAAAGTGCACAGGCCCTGGCTCCAGTCGCTCGTTAGCTGGTGTTGTTGTTTGTTGCCAGGGGTCTCCCTGGTACCCCCTTGGTAAAAGGATAGACACAGTGGCTCCAAACTGTGGGCCCTGACTCCTACTACCCCTCTGGCTCCCTTCCCCCACATCCCTTTGCCTCTCTGCCTGACTGCATGCCATCAATACCGATGGCCAGATAAGCCAGAAACACGGGCCCATTAGAAACCAAGCATCTTTTTTAGCGGACCAATGAAACTTCCATCTTGCCAACAAGTTCCAGCCAACTTTCGGTGGGGAGAGGAATAATTATAATTTTGCTACGGAGCAGGCAGCTTAGTGCTTATCTGCAGTTTGCCTGCCATGCTCTGTTTACCAGATTGCTGTTAAAGTGTTTTTTCCCCATGCCGCTTTCAATTCCAGGCGAATCGATAACACTATTGAACAAACACCGTTGTTCTCTGCTTTTGCCTGACAGAGTTATCAGCCCACTGCACACCCTGAGCACACACACGCGCGCACACTAACAAACTCCCTATAGCCAGTCCCTCCCTGACCTCTAGTCCTGATTACAAACAGGTTGTAGTATGGTCCCAATGTGTTCATTAGAAAGGAGGTTGAAGGGGGTGCAATTAAAACACAAAAAAAAGGGTATTAAACTCGCCCTAGAAGGGGGTAATTATGTCCTCCCTCTCCCCACTTCCCAGCCCCTGCAGGCTTGAGAGCGCGGGGGGATGAATAGACGTGGGCGAAGGGGGTGGGTCAAAGGGCTTGAATTGGGAATGGCTTTTGAAGTCTCACCCAGTAAATGTTTCTATGTGAGTGCTACTGTTGCTCTATCAATGCCACCGTTTCATACAGTGTTTCTATTCACAGTGTGCCCGCACTGATGGAGTGCTTCACTTAGCAGGGAGAACCGCCACTGAAAACGCACCAGGGGATGTTGGCTAGTGCCTTTTATTAATGGCAAATAGTTTTAATTATCCTGCTGCCTTTTGTTCACCCCCCAACGCCTCAGCACTGAAACGTTCCACATCATCAGCTTAATTAACTGATTGTGGTAACGCACTTCAAAGAGAGCTTTGGCCCCTGTGTCACACAGTTTAACAACAAAGTCAAACCATGCCACCTTCACTTTAGCAAACAAAATCCTCTCACTTTCAGCCTTCCCCAGTGTGTGTCCCTTGTTATTTCCCTCCTCCAGATTGTCTCCCTCTCTGAGTCAATAAGGCTGTTTTGGTTTATTTCCATTGTCAGCATGGAGTAGCAGAGTAGTACTCTCTACTTATGGATGATCTGTGGAGTTATGGCAGATATGCAACAAGGATTGTGTGCGAGTGTCTGTCTCAGCCTGATACATTCATGTCAAGGATTGTTTATGTCTGAGTAGGTGTGCGTGTGTGTGTTGCTGTTCTGGTGCTCTGGGGAATCTGGGAGTGTGTTTCAGTGGTGATAAGGTGGATAACAAATGCTAATAATGAACAGAGATGATAGCGAGGGAATGCCAAGTGGTCACAGGTTGCTCCTTACCACTCTTCCTCCTCTTCTGAGAGGGAATTTCTAATTTATTGGAGCCTTTTCAGGAAACTTCAGGAGTCTAATCTCTTCTTTAATCTCTCTGGCCTGCATTTTGCTTTCTTGTCTACCTCTATCCCCTTCTTTCATCCATCCATCACCCTCTCATCTCTGCACTCTCTCACCCTGTGGAATGTCAGAGCTCTGAGGCGAAGAAGCTGCGGCGCGGATCAAAGGTCGGACACTTGCCAAGTCAGCACCGGAGAATTTTCTACATGGACAGTCAGCAAGAAGGGTCTTTTTAAGCATTTTAAATTCTACAGACGGATAATGGAAATTAATCTCTGTAAAGATTCATTCAAATCTATTCTAAAGTCCATAAAGGTCATTGTAGAACAAACTACACAGATCTCACTACAGCTTCCAAAAAGAGTTCCTGTCTTCTTAACCCACTGTCTCTCAGAGCTTCATACAGTCACCCTAACCACATAAACAAGATTATTTTCCGTAACGGATGACTGAACCGGAATGTGGGGACCACCTAATTGGCTCGCCCAAGCCTGGATTATTGGGTGGAGCAGTGGCTGAACTGAGGTCCATTCATCAGCACCAGACCCTACTTAATACAGGGGCTTAGACTGGACAGCGAGGCCCAGAGCAGGGAATGACGGCTGGGGACAGAGTAAGGGGTGAGACAGGCAGGGTGGAGCTTTTTCCCCCCACTCCCACATCTATTGTTCTCACATAGAGAAGGGGTATTATGGCTTTTCACTGAAGATTTGGAGTTCAAAAAAGACACATTGTCTATGTATAGCTATATATATATATATGTGTGGGTGTGTGCAAATGTGTCCGTGCAAAAATGGGAACCAAGAGGTGGTATTAGAATGCTGAAAGAAACTGGGAGTACTTTTTTTCAAGATAAATCCCTCAAAACCACATGACTCCATGAC